ACCGCTGCGCCCAGCGTCCAAGCTACCGTTACCGACGAGAAGAAGGGTGCTGTCGAAACCGTTGCTCCTGCTGCTGGTGTAGCTGTGGATGCTGCTCAGTCCATCGTTAAAGAGAAGACTTCGCGACCCAACTCAACAGCTGAACCAACATCAGACGACGACGACAACTTTGAATACCCCACGAAATGGAGGCTCACTGCGATTACCGTGGCACTTTGTCTAAGTGTCTTCTGCATGGCGTTGGTAAGCTGCCTCCTTCTGTAATCCCCGGTTCCACGGCTGTGGTACGCCGTTGATCGACAGCGGCTACACCTGTCCAACCAAACCATGAGATCTGCCAATGAGTATGCGCTAACGCCTCTGTTCAGGATAACACAATCATCGCAACAGCTATTCCTCGCATTACAGATCAGTTCAAAGCGCTCAACGATGTAGGCTGGTATGGGTCATCGTATCTACTGACTACGTGCGCGACGCAACTCATCTACGGAAAGTTCTACACCTACTACTCCATCAAATGGGTATACCTCATCGCGCTCTTCATCTTCGAACTCGGCTCGCTCATCTGCGGTGTTGCGCCAAACTCGACTGCACTCATCATCGGACGCGCGGTCGCTGGTGTCGGAGCCGCTGGTATCTTCTCCGGAGCCATCTTGATCATCTCCGTCACCGTACCGCTACGCAGTCGCCCTACTTACATGGGACTCATTGGAGGCATGTATGGTATTGCGTCTGTTGCTGGCCCACTGTAAGTTGTGGAGAAGACGTTTGGATCCAAGATCGACATGGACTAATGTTTACTTTAGCATGGGCGGAGCCTTCACAGACCATTTGACTTGGCGTTGGTGCTTCTACATCAACCTTCCCTTCGGTGCCGTTACCGCTGCCTTCATCATCCCCTTCCTCAACGTCAAGCGTCGTGGCAAGAAGATCACGGCTACCTGGCAACAACAGCTTCAGAAGTTCGATCTTCCCGGTACCGCGTGCTTCCTGCCGGCTATTATCTGCTTGTTGCTTGCGCTCCAGTGGGGCGGTAGCAAGTACGAGTGGAACAGCGGACGTATCATCGCGCTCTTCGTCATTTTCTTTGTCCTCATCTGTGGATTCATCACTATCCAGTGGTGGAAGCAAGAAGATGCTACCGTCCCTCCTCGTGTGTTCCTCAACCGCAATGTCTGGGGCAGCGCTTGGTTCGGTGCCATGTTGGGCGCGTCCTTCTTCCTCATTGTTTACTACCTTCCCATCTGGTTCCAGGCGATCAAGGGCGCGTCTGCAACAAAGTCTGGCATCATGAATCTTCCCGCCATTCTGGGACTTGTCATCATCTCGATGCTTGCCGGTGGTGCCGTCACAGCTCTGGGCTACTACACTCCGTTCATGCTCACCTCCTCCGTCCTGATGGCAATTGGTGCTGGACTCTTGTCAACACTGGAAGTCAACAGCGGCTCCCCGCAGTGGATCGGCTACCAGTTCATCTTCGGTGCTGGTGTCGGTTTCGGTATGCAGCAGACCCTTGTAGCTGTTCAAACAGTCTTGCCAGCCGACGACATCCCCATTGGTACCGCGATCATGATGTTCACCCAGACCCTCGGCGGTGCTCTCTTCATCTCCGTCGGCCAAAACGTCTTCACTAACCAGCTCATCAAGAACCTCGCCAGCATCGTGCCCGATCTCGATGCGAGCATCGTCCTCCGTACTGGCGCGACCGAGCTAAAGAACGCCATCGACCCCGAGTACCTCGGCGGCGTATTAACGGCCTACAATCTGACTCTTACCCAGACATTCTACGTATCCGTTGCTTGCGGTGCCATGTCGATTGTCGGCGCGGTGTTCGTAGAGTGGAAGTCGATGAAGGGCAAGCAGATCACCATGGCTGCTGCTTGAACGAGTCCCAAGACCGGGGACTTTATTTCGACCTGATCTGATGTCTTCTTGGGCGTCTAGGTCCATGTTTTGTATGATACCCTTTTCCAGCGGCATGTTAGCACCAGCATCTTGCTGCGAGCGCGGCGTTTGTCTTTTGGCATATACATTGTAATAGATGATTGATGAATGGGAGAAAGTGATAGACACGGCACTTTGCTTTTTGGCCTGATGTGCTGGCAAAGGCATGACGACTCTTCGCTCTAAGAAACCTGTAATTGAATGGATCAACATACTGCATTAAACTCTTGTGCTGTACATGTTATGATTATACTTCGCGGTCGTTTCACAGCCACACCTCCAGGGCTTGTCGAGCCGGTCCCACCCGCCGTGACGTCAGCCCGTTTACCGTGGTTTGACTCTTTTGGGACGTCACATGCAAGTCCCTTTCCCACACAGGACGGCCGAGAAGAAAGTGTGTGGAGCCGGCAGCTGACATGGGCGAATAGGCACAAGGGCGGCTGGAGAGTCGGTGTTGGATTGGTTGCACTGGCGGTTGGTGTCAGGCTTTAGGCTGATGCTTAGCAAGGCTTGTTTTTTGCAGGGTCAAGCCTCCCACTGGCGATCAACACTCATCTTGCGCTGCGCCCGCCTTCGATTGCGCGTTCGGCGCTTCTTTTCCCAGCCTTGCATATCCTGCTTACACCCGCCCACGCCATGCACCTGCAGACTGTGCTGCTCCTGCGACGATATACATTTGACATCCTCTGCTAGCTGGCCTCTGCCGCGCGCCACAGTTCCGTTGCGCCGAGACGCGATAACAGCCGGCATAGCCAGCACAACTCCAGGTCTTACAGACAGAGCCACCGTCGCGCATCGCAGCCATGGCGGAGGAGAAGGAATCGAGGCCAGAAGACGCGCAGAACGGGCATGCGCCGGCCATGCCGGAGAAGGAGGGGGGGATGGACGGCGCTGATAGCGAGCCCCCAAAGCCGCAGAAGACGGATACGTCCGGCAGTAAGAAGAAGGGCCCGGAAGGAGGCTTCGATGACACGCCCATACCGCGCGCGCCGCCCGGCTATACCGTCAAGTTCACGCTCCACCGCGCCAACAACCTCCCGCTCGCCGACATCAACACGCTCAGCGCTGATCCCTTCATCATGGCGCAACTGTACACCGGCCTGCCCACGAGACACAAGGAAGACCCGCCGTTGACGCTGCGAACACCGACGATCCGACAGAGCACCGATCCTGTATGGGACTGCGAGTGGGTGGTCGCCAATGTGCCCTCGTCCGGTTTCAACCTCAAGTGCCGCATATACGACGAAGACCCGGCAGACCACGACGACCGCCTCGGCAATGTACACGTTACCGTTCCCTCTATAAACGAGAATTGGGGAGGCATACGCGATCAGACATACCCAATCAAGAAGCGCATGGTGAGCAAGCGGGCCTATGCGCTGCGCGCCATGGCTGTATGTTTCGGCAAGGCGCATCACATGAACGGCACGCTGAATGTGAGCGTGGAAGTGCTAGGCAGGACCGAGGATGAGAACGGCGGGCGTGCATATACCATTGGACCGCAGTTCTGGATACGGCATTACTCGCCGCTTTTGGGACGCTTGCTGGGCCAGAAAGAGCCCAACAACGATGGCAGGGTGTCGCGCAGGAACGGCAAGCAGAAGCCTGAGAAGTACAACTTCCAGTCGAATCAGATGCAGATGCGCGGTCCGGTCCCTGAAGCCATGTACCACCGCTACGTCGAATTCAAGCCTTTCGTTAAGAGTATGTTCACCGCTAAGGGCGTGCGAGGATTCGTCTTATCGAAGGCACTACACCACCAGCATGCGCGCGTATACAACTTCGATCACGCTACAGAGTTCAAGGTTCTGCCTGCGCCTTGCAAGGAGTTCACGCAAAAGTTCCTCGAACTAGTCCACTACGATCAAGGCGGGAGAATCTTCACCTACGTCTTGACCCTCGATGCGCTCTTCCGGTTTACAGAGACTGGCAAAGAATTCGGCATCGACATGCTGAGTAAGCACACCATGCACAGCGATGTAGCAGCATACGTAGCATTCTCGGGTGAGTTCTTCATCAGGAGACTAAAGCACAAAGACCGCAAACCTCCGGATGAAGGCGGAAACAACAAATCCCACCCGCCAGGCGACATCGACGGCGGCCCTCCCAAGGAAAGCCCAAGCAAAGACCCAGCCTACTACGAACTCGTCATCGACAACGACTCCGGTACCTACCGCCCCAATGCCAAACTCCTCCCTCAGCTCAAAGATTTCATGTCGCAGAATCTGCCTGGCCTACACATCCGCACCCTCGACTGCCAAGGCGACGCCGAGAAGATGGAAGCCATGAAGTCCGAACAGCGCGAGCGCAAGAAGAGGGAGGGCCAAGCCGTGGTCTACACTCAGATCAGCAGAAGCAGCAGTATGAGTAGTAGTGACGAAGAGGAACTGGATCGTCTAGAGAGTGAAGGTCAAATGGCGCCCAAGCATCTTAGACACCAGATTCAACGGGAGGCCGGGGCGAGAGTCGATGCATTGAAACTCCATGCCAGGGAATACCGCCCGAGTAATAATCACGAGGGGTGGAGGGGTGACGGCCATCCCGCTAGAGCCGATGACGGGGAAGTGGACAAGATGAGGCAGGAGAACGGAGATGAACCGGTGACATCGTACGACAGCACACAATCTGGTGCTAAGAGCTAACCTGCATACTCGACTAACGTCTATTCCTTTTCGTGTATCTGTTATCATCACGCCTTGTACGTGGTTTCCTTAATACGTTTCCCAGCATATTCTCTTCTAGCATCCGAACTTCTGTTACTTTAGTGTTTTTTTTTTCGTTGTGTGCTTTCTTGAATTGCATCTTGCCCGAGTTAAAAACGCTTGCAGCTGAAGAGAGCCAGAGAGAGAAGAGGAGGAAACATTACATACACGGACACTCTCTCTACCCCGAGATACCCGCCATCCTATATTTCTATAGCAGAAGAGCTTAATTTCCTGATATTATCAAATTACTTGCTGTCGTTGTAATGAATGCTTTTCCGCCTTTGTTAAACACTACGCATGAGCCCTGCCAACCGTGAAGACTCTACATTGGTTCACCCAACCACGTGTTCTTCACACCCACTCCGGCACCTCAACATCGGGCTTACTAACCCCAAACCTCACTGCCTTGGCATAGTACTCCAACAGCGCCTCCCCTTCCTGTCTCCCCCTCTCAAACTCCTTTCTCAACCTCTCCCTCCCCTCGCCAAATAGCCAAATCTGCTCCCCGCCAGCACCCATACGTTTTCTCATTCCGCGACTGTAATCGAGCGCGTGCCGGACTTCTCGGCGGTCTGTGGCCTTGGCTTTGAGCGCGATGTAGGCGGTTAGGTTGAGGAGGACAGCTAGGTCGAGGGGCGTTGTCAGGGTTGTCGGGGTGGTGGATGCCGAGGCGGAGGAGGTAGTAGAGGTTGATGTGGAGGTGGAGGTTGATAGGGTAGAGGAGGGGTATTGGGGCAGATCATGGCCGGTTTCGCTTCTTAGAGCAAGGAAGACGCCGGTTGTCAATGCGGCGTGGATGTAGGTTAGTGGGAACTTGTTTGTGGCTGTATGCAGTTCGAGGCTGCTTTCTAAGGCACTAGATAGTGGGGTCCAGACTTGGAGTGGGGGAGCGCGGGAGCTGTTAGTGTTGCTGTTGCTGCTGGTGCGTTTGGGCATGAAAGAGGACAGGGTTTTAAGGACCCAGAGATGAGCGTTCGCCCATTGTTGGGGTGCGTTCCAGTTGGTTTCTTCTGACGCGTTGTTCAGGCTCGTTTCGAGTAGACCGGGATATGCAAAGAAGTAGTCTCTTATCGCGCGGTGAGTATAGCTTATCCTCAGGCTCTCGGTACTGGCGTGTTGATCGGGTGGTGTGGTGTCGAAGATGGCTAGCAGTCCTTTACACCGCTGTTGGGTCAGGGTCTGCATGTCTTCGACTCTCTTACTTATCTCGACTGCTGTCAAGGGCCGTACATCTGCGGCTAGTGTTGCTGACGTCTCGGCTGTGAAAGCAAAGGAGAAAGGCAGGATGGCCGGGCATATGTCTTGATGTGAGAGGAGGGCGTGCAGTTTTCCAACTACCTCGACGTCTTCTGGAGCCATTTTGCTGAGCATGTGGGCGAGCAGATCGTCCAGGAGATAGGGAAGCCCCTCCGCACGATCTTTTAGGACAAGGAAGTCAGAATCGGGCTCTAGATTTTCGAAGAGAAATGTGGTGGCGAGTTTCAGCCACAGAAATACTCCTGAGCTCTTTTCAGCGAGCATCCCGACGATGTGCTCTTCCTCTTGGCCGTCCATCTTCCCTCTGAGCGAATGCAACTTTGGTTCCTCGCCGAACGTTTTGATCAGGTAAGTCTGTATATCATCTCTCGTGTATTCCTCCAGCACCATTCTAGGCTTATTCTCAAACGCTGAATAGAAGACTGGTGAACTTCGAGCCGAGAGCAGGAACTTGACGTTGTCTCTCCGCGAAGTGCTGAACACGAGGTCCATCAACTCCTTCGGGTAATCATCCGTCTCATCCAGCCCATCGATCATGAAGAGAAACTTCTTGTTTGCATCGCCGACCAAGCCCTCAAACGCTACTTTCAGCTCCGGAAAAGTAAACTCGTGTAGGCCGCCAGCGTAGGATTGGAATGCATTCCAGCGATCGGAGAACAGGTTCTGCATAATGACTCCGTCTTCTTCCAGGGGCCCAAATATCATGTCCTGTAAAGTTTCGTAGATGATGGCTCGCAGTAGACCAATGGAACTCTTCTGCAGCTCTGTCCCATTATTCCAAAGGAAGAATCCAGACGTGATGCCGGGTTTCTGACCTGACCACGCCTCGAGATGTGGGAATAAGAGTGGATTGCGGAAGAGATATTTCATCAGAGTGGTTTTCCCTGAGCCCGGTTTACCTGGAGCCGTTGTAAGAAGACATTTAGGGATCGAAAGACGGGATAGTAAGAGATGAAAACGCACCGGTGAGCCAATATATTTCTTCGCCCCTCGTATTAGTAAACCACTCCAGCAAACCGCCAACCTGTCTCGAGCCGTCTCCCATCACCCACTCAAACCCTAAATTGACGGAACTATTGATGCTATTCATCCTTTCATCCATCTCCTCGAACCACAGCCTCTCGAAGATGGTAGCGCGGAAGTATGCTTCCTTCTCTGCCTGGATGAGCGCATCAACCTGTTTGGAAAACTCTTCTACATCCTTCTTCTTGCTGCTTTTCCAATCATTGCTGTGGATCATATCGAGGGTTTGATTCTGCCACTTTTCCCAATGCTTCGTGTGCACACCTTCGTCGCCGCTGAACAAAGCGAGACCAGTCTCAATGGATTGATCCAGATACTGGCGCATAGCGAGTAGTAAGCTCGTCTCAATATCGCGACGAAGGGCTCGATACTTCTTCTTTGTACCTGTCACGTTGGCCTTCTTCCACACCCCGTTCAATAATGCTTCGCGCGCAGTGGGCCATCGCGGGTCACCAAATTTTCCCTTCTCTTGCGCAGCGATTAGTGCGTCGATGAACAAAGCTGTCAGTTCTTTGACTACCTCAGCATGCTTCAACAATTGCAGCGCTGCCTCGCTAAGTTTCTTGGCTGTTTTTGCGCTCTTTGCTGATTTTTCGTCGTACAGCTCTTTGAGCTCAGAGTTGTCGATTAGGTCGGTTAGGCGATAGAGATTGTGTATGATATCTTGCAGGAAGGCTGCATTTTCCACGAGCGGTGTTGTCGAAGGTGAGCTAGGCTGGAAGATGGGATGGTCTTTGCGTAATGCGTTGATGGAGAAGTCGATAGTTTGGATGAGTGCACTTGCAAGGCCGACCGCCGGTATGGGGCGCAACATACTGTAGAATTGCTTTTTCGCGGCACAGCAAAAGCCTAGTCGCGACGTCTGAGCCTTATGACCCTTTTGATATGCGAAGCGCATGTCTGCTGCGCCCCTAAGGCGTATGCGCACAGACCAAGTTCACTGAGGGCCTAATCCAAGGTGCGGGCGTTTCAAAGTTCAGCGCACGTCGATCCTGCCTACACCACGACCTTCCGCGGTCGTCTCAGGACCGAGGCACCAAGGCCAGACCGTCAGTATGTTTGACTATGGTACCTTCGCCACGACGACACTCGGGTTGGAACGGTCTTACCTGCCTAGCTACGATGCCACGTTGCCGACTCGACGGTTTCAACCTGATACTGCGTATTACCGCAGATGCGTAAGAATGCCGCGCCAGCAGTCCGAGGCTGAGAAGGCTCTGTGCTCTTCAATGGCATCAGAAGTTTGAGACTGAGCCGGGCGCTTCTGACCTGGTAAAGATAGACTGGGCCTGCATGTGTTGACGTTTGCCTTGCGCCTACTTCCTCTGTCCTGCCCGGAGCAGTCGTCCCTCACCACAGTGGACCGCTAATCATGACTTTCAACAAGAGTTTCACCTCTTTCTTCATGTTCCAGTAGGGACAGATCATCGATATGGATCCCGACACTGCCGTTGGTGTCGTTTCCTAGATGTCTCTGCTAGAACTCACGTTGTGTCAAAACATCGAATGTCACATCGGATGCCTCTAGAATCCATAACAGATCCACCTCTAAATACACGACATTCTTGTCATCTTTCATGCTCTAACTTAGCCAACAGCGTTGGCATCGACTCTTCCTTCTAGCATAAGCCTATGCTTCTCTACTCAAAACCTTCCGCCACGCAAACTCCTCCCTAAACCCCAACAACTCCTTCATCTTCGCATTACAAACTGGACTCTCCCTCCCCCTCAGCCCGCCTAACACCTCTGTCTCAGGGCAAGCCTTCCTCAACCATTCCTCACTACTCCCTTCTTCCTCCGGCACCGTAATCTCATCATTGACCGCATTAAAAATCTGGAACCCCAACCCATCCGTCTTCAAACAACACTGCACCATATTCCCCAAGTCGCGCGCATCGGTATAACTCCACGCATGCACTTTAAAATCCCGAGGCCGAGTTAAATACGCCGAGAACTTCTTGGCGTGGTTTTCAGGTTCTATAACTGCGGAGATGCGCAGGCAGTAGATATCTACGCTGGGAAAGCGGCGAGCGAAGGAGGCGGCAGTGGTTTCCATACAGAGTTTACTGGTGGCGTAGACGTCCATGGGGCTTGTGGGACTGGTTTCTGTGAGGGGGAAGTGCGGGTAGGAGACGTTGCCTTCGGCGTAGGTAATCCCGTAGGCGGTTATGCTGGATGCGAGGATGATTTTACGGATGCCGAGTTTGCAGGCGGTTTCGAGAACGTTGTAGGAGCTCAGGGTGTTGATGCGATAAGTTTCGTTGTCGGGGAGGCGCATTGGTTGGGGGATGCCTGGTGGGTGGGGTTAGTCTTGGTGAGGGTTTGTTGCTGAAGTCAGGTTATGTTTTCCAAGTACCTGCTTATTTGCGGGATGTCTATATATGAGATGCAAGATGATACGTACCAGCGAAATGTACGACTGCATCTGGCGTCTTGACTGGCTCCATAAAGGGTTCACTGATCTTGAAGTGACAAGACAGACTGTTGAAAGCCTGCGCCCCATCCGTGAGATCGGCCTTCAAAGTGTGTACATTGGGATTGTCTAGAGGCGTTGCATCCACGTTGAGTATCTCATGGCCGAAAGTAAGCAACTTCTCGATTACATGGCGTCCTGCGACTCCAGAACCACCCGTGAATACTATTCTCTTGGTTTGTGAAGAGGCCATCATGCAATGCGTGAGAATCTGTGAGATGGAGCGGTAACTGAGATCTGACGAAGGCGTTCATAAGTATGTAAATAAGGAACAAGCAGTCGTAGAATTCATAGTGCTGATCGCCAGGTTTGTTGTTCTTGGGCGGAGCTTCCCCGCCCTAGCTTACGAAGCTCTAACCTCGTTGGCTCTTTTGGGTGCCGATGTGCATGAAGTCTTGATGGCCGAATATAGTAACAATGCGCGGACATGCAGTATACTAGTAGCAGAAGACCTGGGACAAACTCATACCGGTATTGGTACATTCATTCATGTCTATCATTCAAGCCTCAGTTACTCAGTGAGCTGGCGCTTTTGATCGTTATGTTCGGTCTTCCACATCATTTCCCCTCTACACAACCTGGGTGCCGTAACCCCTGATCCTGTCGGCGAATGCCCAGCTCTGGTTCTCAAGCTTCACGTTCTCATCAAGATCGACGCCGTCCTTGGTAATAACGGCAATCGAGTACTTGTCCATACTCCTGGCATCTCTGTAGAAGAGAACCTTCATGCACTCCTTGATCTTCTCTACCGCCTGCTCCCTTGTGACGTTCTCCACGGCGGCCTCATCTGGCAATATTGTCCTTAGGATTGGCTGAGCGAGATGTGCACCGAAGCCAGTAGCCAGCGATGGTGATGAAAAGGTGGTACCGAGAAGGTCTGCGCTTGCGAGGAAGGGCTTCTTGTCTCCGTCCATGCCCACGATGAGCAGGTGGTTCCACAATGGATCGAACTTTGAGCGGCGATTGTACATGACTTTGGCGAGGTAGGTGTGGAGGTTCTTGGCATTCAGCGAGTTTTCGGAGGAGGAGTAGTTCTCGCGGATGTCGAGCGAGTTGAGTAGGCGGTCCAGGTACTGCATGTCGGAAACATCACCGCCGAAACCCACGACGACCTCGTCATTGAACTTCCGTAGGCGCTTGACGTCGGTGAAGCGAGCGAGGGAGCCGTACGAAGCTACATGTATGGTCAGCGAGACCCTCGTTGCTTATAGTAGTGTGCCATACCCAGGTTGTCGGCGGCGATGACTACGCCATCCTTGAACTTGGCCGCAAGTACCGAGGTACCCGTTACGATCGGGCTCTGAGTGTGCTGGTTGGGGCCGGCAGCGGAGAAGTGTGAAGGGTCGTAAGCGCCGTATACATCGTCTCTGGGCTATGGTGCATTAGTACTGTTGCTGTTGGAGGCGGGCGGAGGACATACACGGCCCCAAGCTTGTGGAAGGTGGTTCATGGTGAGAGCGGCGACTGAAACGAAGACGTAGAGAGATGTTGTTGGTCGGGTTCCTGAGAGAGTGCTATGTCGTAGTGGGCTCAAAGGTGAGGTTGTTGTCACGGCGCTCGTCAGGCAGTCGGTGGTTGCGCAGCTCGCGCGCCAAGACATGGAGTTGGCCCAAGCTCCGCATATTGATGTCAATCCGAGAGGACTGTCTACCAGCATTGCGCAATCACAATGCTCGGAATCGACTACCCAGACAGTGACGAGGAAGACGTCGTGCCCGCGACCAAGCCAGAGGTGAGACTTCCAAATCTGTGCAAAGGGCTCGGATCGCTACTAATATAGAGTTGACCAACATTCCTGCAGCTATCGCGCCGACCCCAGCGCCTCTCGAACAGCCGCCTACATCGTCGGGTCCAGTGAGCGGCCCTGCGCAAGGCCCGACGGTTTCGCCGCCCCCGGAGGACGATGCCAACTCGAATGAAGCCGCGCTAGGCTCACCACACACAGCTACACGTGCCCTGATTCAGAACCTTACTCTACCTACCGTACCGAACTTCGATATACCTCCTTCTCCACCGGGATCACCACCCCAGAAAGCGACGAAGAAGTTTGCGCAATTTCTAGATCTCAAGAAGAAGGGCCAGCATTTCAACCAGCGCCTGGAAGGCTCGTCCGTGCTACGCGATCCGGGACACATGCGGAAGTTGATGGGCTTTGCGGGAATCAGCGAAGAGGACTCATATGCATCCACACTGCCAGAAGATGTCGCGATACCGGCAGTCTTCCCGGAGTGGGCCTATGTCGAGGAATTGAGGGCTTCACAGAAGCGCATCGCAAAAACCAAAGAACAAGAGAAATCCAAGGCACCGAGAGAAGCTCTCGAGTTTGTGTCCGCGTCCAAGACTGGCACGTCAAGCGGAACGGGCACAGCGTCAAGCTCTGCTACGGGGAAGCGCAAGGAATTGGAACATAGAGGAAAGGACGACCAGGGCACAAAGCGCAAAGTAGAGAGCAGGTCAAGGTCGCCGAAGAGGAGACGATCAAGGTCAAGGGAGAGAAGGTGAGGGGAGAAGATAGCACAGATTGAGAATACTTGTAGTAATACTGTAAATGGAGTGTTCGCACAACCAAAACCAAGTAAATCCCAAGACATTGATCCAGACCCTTGCTGTGCATGCCCGAACCAGACCGTAATGCATGCTCTCACTACATCAGCGCCAAGACACTAGCGCGTGGAAGCTCCAGGCATTCGAGCTGCGTAACTCCAGAGCTACAGCACCAACAAACAGAAGCGTCGCAATAGCCCACAACCCTTCCGATACCGACTGTACCTCTGCAACCCCGCCCGAATCCACCTCTACAACACTCGACGATGGCTGCCCTCTACACCGGTGCACCTCCGCAAGGTGGCCCAGGCTATTCGTTCAAGCAGACCCCCACAACTGTTCCGTCAGGCGAGCGGCAACATGGCTTCTACCCGTACGCTGGCTCACCATCTTGAACATACGTACCGCTAATACAATACAGCTACACTGACAACGGTGGCTCAACACTGGGCATCTCCGGCGCCGACTTCGCCATCCTCGCAGGCGACACACGCTCGACTTCCGGCTACAACATCAACACACGATACGCACCCAAGCTCTTCAAGATCGGCGGCGAGGGGCCAGAGAACAAGGGTGCCAGGATAGTACTGTCGGTGGTCGGCTTCGCCGCCGACGGTGATGCGCTGAAGGAGCGTCTCGACACCATCGTCAAGATGTACAAGTACCAGCACGGAAAGCCCATGACCGTCTCCGCCTGCGCACAACGACTCAGCCACATCCTCTACAACAAGCGCTTTTTCCCCTACTACGTACACGCCATCCTGGCTGGTCTAGACGAGGAGGGCAAGGGTGCGCTGTACTCCTACGACCCGGTCGGCAGCTACGAGAGGGAGCAGTGTCGGGCAGCTGGTGCTGCGGCATCACTCATTATGCCTTTCTTGGACAACCAGGTCAACTTCAAGAACATGTATGAGCCAGGCAGCGGAACAGGTCATGAACTCAAGTCGAAGCAAGCACAACCGCTACCGCGCGATCACGTCGAGGACCTGGTACGGGATGCCTTCACGAGCGCCGTGGAGAGGCACATTGAGGTTGGTGATGGCCTTCAGATGATGATCATTACAAAGGAGGGCATAGCCGAGACCTTCACGCCCCTCAAAAGGGACTAAGAAAATGTGATGTATAGACTTGGGGTGCGGTATCTTCACGAATTTGATGACTTCAAGACACCAAGCGGATGTATAGGTAGCACACCATCATGCTACTGAAGATTAAGAATTCATCTACATGATCAATGACCGAAAATATTCAAGACAACCTCTCGTTCTCCTTCCGTTGTCTTATTTTGGTTTATTTGTTTATCTGCAATTAAGAACTATGTGCTATATTCATAACTTGTTTAAGAACAGAACGCTCTTGTTGCCTTATCTTCTAGTACCTATCATAGAGCGATAAGTAGGTTGCTACACATACTTAGCTAAGAGGATATGTAGACAATGCACCTACGTTAAGACTGCTGCACAGAGTACCTAGTTAGTATCGTGTTACTCTATCTTAGCGCAGATATTTTCTCCGTCATTACAAGTAAAAGAAGGCATACAGAATAACACAGGCAATAGCAAAAAAGAACAGACACCCTTAAAGTATTAAGTGTCTGGTGAAAACTCCGCTACACCCCCCAAGCCGGCATCGTAGCATGCTCCGAAGATGCCATGCCAGGACGCTGCCTTGGGGGATGTAGAATTAGTTTTATCATGATTCGAATTCACGGTTTCTAACTTAGCTGGGAGCGACCCAGCGTCGGCGGTGGTCTTACCCACTCCTTGCTATGCTGCGCGTTTCCGCCCGATCATCAGGTCTTCCATCCCGAGTCGATGGAGGGACGTAGAAGATCTGGGATTATATAGCGAGAGAGAGTTTGTGGTTGTATACTCTGTGTAAAATGGGCGGTGGAGGGAGATGGCTGGACTGGTGGGGAGGCGAGGTGAAGGTGAGTGTGGGCGTTTGCTATTTTGCTGGGTGAAAGCAGGCTGTGCGTATGTGGCCTGTGAGAAGCGAGAGATTTGACGGAGAGAAATATGGTGAAGACTGAAGGATGACGAGGCTAGGATATTGACGAAAGGATGGCTTGAGAAGAGAGACAAAGATCGTTAACGTACTCACGTGGGCATTAGTGGGGTGGGTGATGTAGCAACAAAGAGACGTGAGAGACCATAACCCAATATATATAAGAAATTCGTGTATGGAAAGAGTAAGTTGAGGTCGGCGTACATGAATGAAGAAAAGTGTATTCATGAGGATGGCAAGAGAGGTCAAAGAGGGCACTTTGCTACGTCGCAAGATGGTCGATCGACAATAACGACCAGAACTAACAGCACCCGTGTCGAAACTTGTCCAAAGGAACCCACCTTGGTCGACTGAAGATGTACGTCGATGAAGGAACGACGAAGGTTCGTGTGCGTCGTGCTCGCCCCCGGGGCCCCTGCCCCAAATGTGCTAGCCGTCCCCACATCGTCAGCGGCCAGCATCTCCGCATGTCCCCACTCATCACTCTACCTACTGCAACTCGAGCACGCACTTCTCAGGCGGTCACTTCATCTGGACTTAAGCCTTCTATCATCTCCGACACCATATTGGGAAGAGAAGAAAAACAAGCTTTCCAACCGAGGAACCGGATCTGGGGAATGCGCAAACGCGGCACGCGTCGCTTCTCGAATTTCATCTAAACAGATTGCTTTCGATAACTCGTCACCCTAAGACCTGGTTGACTCGCCTGATGGCCCTACATCACGGCCTCACGAATCCGATGTGAATATCAAACGTTCGGTTGCTGAGGGCGTTGAGGCTGCAATCCACGGTAACAGCAACGTTGCCACTGCCAATCAGTACACACGTGTTACGAGTGTTGAGGTTCTCGATCTCAAACCGCAGAGACGCGAAGACGAGGTTTCCAAACGTTCACAAGACCTGCGCCCAATCGAACCGACGGGAGCTTTATCCGGTGGCTCGTAGCATACGCATTATGTACAAGCAAGCCTGCACGACACCCGCAAAAGCATACCTATCAAACGAATCTAGAGCCCAGTTTCGGTGTGGTCGCCACTGAATGGCTGCCTTTGGCGCACTGATTAATTTCCACACCACCTGCAGGACGTTACACGTGAAAAACTGAACCCGGGTTGCGGCACTGACAAGCTTTGCTTTCATATAATCGCAAGTCACACGACGATGACATACTCTAGAATGTTGCCTCTTGGGGTGTAGTCGCCTACATCGATACCATGGGCTGCACTCCACCTGTAAGCGAGCATGCTGTTTACTGCTTGGGGGATAAAGAGGCAAGTATAAAGAGACGGTAGGTAGGTATTCATCTCGATACCATCCCATCAGAGTCTAATACTTGTCTTCATTCCATCCACCGATCATCGGCAGAGCATCTACCATGAAGAGTGCAATCATCTTGACTGGCGTTGCTGCCTTCTCAACACAGGTAGCGTCCCATGCGACCTTTCAGCAACTTTGGGTGAACGGTGTAGATCAGATAAGTACCCCCAAAGAGACTTATATCAACCGCTGACATCCATCCACCAGTCAACCTGTGCAAGACTTCCCAACGGCAACAGCCCTGTCACATCAGTGGCAAGCAACGACATCCGCTGCAACGCCAACCGCGGTCCAGCAGCCTCGAAATGCAGCGTTCCTGCCGGCGGTACCGTCACCGTAGAGATGCACCAGCAGAACGGTGACCGTTCCTGCGCTAACGAAGCCATCGGCGGGGCCCACTACGGCCCCGTTCTGGTCTACATGTCCAAGGTTGCAGACGCATCGACAGCCGATGGTTCGGCCCCCTTCTTCAAGGTTTTCCAGGATACATGGGCGAAGAACAGTGGTGGCGGTGGCGGTTCGGATGATTACTGGGGTACTAAGGATCTGAACAAGAACTGTGGAAAGATGGATGTGAAGATTCCCACCAACCTGGCCCCCGGAGATTATCTACTGAGAGCGGAGGCTATTGCGCTACATGCTGCAGGCAGTGCCAACGGCGCCCAATTCTACATCACCTGCTACCAGATTACTGTCACTGGTAGTGGATCTTCTTCACCTGCTGGCGTGTCATTCCCTGGAGCGTACAAGGCTACCGACCCTGGTATCCAAATCAACATCTACCAGAATCTCGCTTCGTACGTCGCTCCCGGTCCGGCAGTCATCGCGGGTGGTACAGAGGCCGTTGCTGGTAGTGCTGGATCAGCTGTCACTGCTACTGGTGGAGCGCCAGTTGCTACGGCTACTGCAACAACGATGAGGACGTCGGCGGTAGCCACCTCTGCCCCCGCTGTGCCAACGAATGGAGGCGGTTCTGGCGCTTGCTCTGTTGCAAAGTACGGCCAATGCGGCGGAAATGGTTTCACTGGATGCAAAACTTGTAAGTCGGATGAGCTGAGATATGTGCAAACAAGCCTTTGCTGACGACATTTAGGTGCTTCAGGACTTACCTGCAAGGCCGGAGGTGATTACTACTCGCAGTGTGTCTGATTAGCTTGAAGGCAGTATAAGGGAGGCCCGTAGAAACTTCGTCTAAATACTTTGCAGTTGACAAAGGCGCAAAACCTGTTGCATTCAACAAGTGCCATTCGTTGTAGCCGCCTAGGTGGAATCAAAGTCTGCGTGATAGGAGAAACGTCTTCCCACAGCTTCATCGCATTTCTCGCATCCAAGAATATTGCCAACATTAATATGCGTGGATCTGACTCATTTTGCCGCATGTGCCCTTTGAATGTCATGGACTTCTAGACTCCGCCCTTTCTATCGGAGCAAACACGTCAAGCTAACACTCTCCAACCTACCGGCAAAACCGTCGGCACCATTTTCATTCCGAAGACTCTCAGTTACCATGCAGCCACAAGGATACATGCAAACAAAAAACGACAAGCCAGACCTGGAAAACCAGTCAGACTTTGCAAAACACACCTGACGCGTGTATTCCTGACATTTGTGCATGCAACGTTCTTCAGTGCCGCGATTCGGCATTGGACGCCTAACACTGTTGCCTAGCGCTGACACAACGATGCTTGCATTCGCTTACCAAAGCTCGCCAAGTACGTACTCCGAGGGATGCACCAAATGTGTATGGCATGCAGTTTATGGCTCGTGCTGAGTGGGAAAGAGTCAAGTTGAATTCCGAAGCAGCTGAAAAGGGCAATGACGAACCTGACAGGGTCTCCGAGCTGATCGGTAGTGATGTGACGAATCTGCATATAAGAAGACATGTGGAACATCGATGATAGAGTCATACTTGTAAACGAGAGCGGAAGCATACATTAAGTCAACTATCTTAGCCTCTTGATATCTCCAAGCACTATCAACACGACATCTACTTGTCACTGCTACCTCGTTAACACCACAATGTCTTCTCAATCCAACACTACCTCACCAAGCGATCTGCCACGCTACTCTACTACTGCACCGCCGCCATACTCATCTTCCGATGCGAACTCCCTAATTTCAACAAAATCAACATCGAAAAGTATTCTGGCAAAGTTATTGAACCGAAAGCGTATGTTCATACATCCTTTGATGAATTGGAACTTTAGCTAATACAGATAGCAGCTGCTGAAGCGACGTCGCAATCGAGTAACGAAGCGCAAAAGAAAGTGGATGAGTCTGAGAATAGAGCTGCTGCGAGAGCGGCGTACTTCTCCGGGCTTTGAAAGATTCGCCGCCTTTGGAGGAGTCAGATTGCCGGATGTGGGTTTCGGAGTGATGCGTAGAATACTCCACATGTTTACAATGTGGGAATAATGTTGCTGGAAGAGCGGTTTGAGGCCTACATCGGGTCGGATTTTCATAATGTCGCGCTCCGGGTATGGGTCGTTGGATGGTTTGTTTTACTTGGCCGAGGCTTTGCAGTCTTATCAATACGATTGATTACGCTCAGAACAAGTCCTGGATTGGTCAGCAAACCCTTTCTACGCATGTGACTGTTCAGCTTACCGCATTATTCCACGTTGCATTGTCTAGCCAGTTCAGAAAGTCGGAGGACTCCGTTGGTATAGGTTCCAGCCCCTCGGTCATGGGCATATCGAAGAATCCCTGCCCCGTCCCGGTCAGATTAGCTGCTGTATCATCACCGGTATCTATTGTGCCTTTAATTGGAGGTTCGTAGTTGAGGACCTCATCTAGTACCAGCGCGAGCATTTTGTTGAGCTCGTTGCAAAGCTTGAGATTGCCGTCGCCGGGGAGAACGCTCCATTCCAAACATGAAGTCAGTACGGAGAGGTTACGGATTATGTCCGCCCTGGAAACTGTGCTAGGTAGTGGTACGCCCTCAATCGTACATCTCCGGAGCTCTAGTGCCAATACACCAGCAGCTGGGGAACAGTAAAATAAGATAACAGTGGGGAAATGGCGACGAGTTTCGTAAATGCGGTTTTGCGGCTTGGAAGCCACGAGTGAGGACACCAGTAGCTTCAGAGACACTTCCAACAATGCTGGCAGAGCCTGTTGCGTTATCCGATGAAGGAGGCGTTGTGTTTGGAAATGTACGTGAAGGTAATCCAGGTAGTAGGCGACAAGTCGCATAGCCAGACTAGGACCGCGGTCTACCCAAGCGGCTTCTTCGGTATATGTATCATAGCGAAGGTGAGTCGGTAACGAGTTCCACCATTCTGCACATTCGGCTGATATTGCTCTAATCTTGTTAGCTGATAGTAAAAAAAAAAAGCGATGGGAATTCTAGGCGTACTCGACATTCCGCACCACTTCGCTATCTTTTTCGCCAGCAAGACTTTGCTCTAGCAATCTCTCTTTGAACACAGCAAGTTGGCATCGCATCCTACCGAAAGTAGTAGGGTGGAGATGACCTTCGGTGTTCCAACCCTCGCTGTCAAGCTTCGAGAGCTCAGCATTGAGTACTTCAGTATCGTCCGAGGCCATAGCGCGATCGCTAATGTCCAACAACATCTTGCGGTCACTGTATCTCCAGCCCATCATCGGAGGTCTTCCGTAGAACACCGCTAGTGTCTTATCGCCGTAATATATCGCCGCGTAGAGTCGTCTCCTGAATTCGCGCATGAAGAATGGTTCTGCGTTGCTACCATCTACGTTGCAAGCCTCGCAGTGGATTCCTGCAGCGTAGAGAGCGGATACACTGTCGCCCATGCGCCTCCACGTAGCATGATCTGGAGAGTCAGCGATCGTAATGTAGTCTTCTGGATGTAGGGGTGACGTACGGTTATCCCCGTAGAAGCTACTGACTACCATCAGGTTGATGTAAACGAGACATACCATGACTGCTTCCGTTAGAACATGCACGATAAGTCTGCGTATGGATGATACGTACGCTCATTGACAGCGCCATGTGTTTGGCAAATGTTGATACACGTATTGGTTGCGTACATTATATCCTCGATGAACTCCTCTCTATTCATCTGCTTGCCATCTTCTAGTGTGAAGAGGGGGTCGTTAGGTGATGTGAACTGGGCACTAGAGCCGGCAATCGCTAAGATCAAGCCCAAAATCTCCCATCTCAAATTCTTCCCTGTGAAGAGAGTGTGGAATTCTGACGGACGCATATCTGAAGGTATTTTCATTGGGCGAGCGGAATTCCTTGTCATCTCGGCGTAGAGCAGGTGTGCGTGATTACCAGCAGCTTGAAGTTGTTCTACGTCTTTGCGCAGTTGTGGCAACGCGGAAAGAATTAGGGGACCAGCGAGGGCTGGATCTAAAATAACGATGTACGAAGTCAGTGTATGTCTCACACGCAGTTCGTACATGAGAGATTTTACCCTTGTGCGATTCGAAATACATATTAAGAGACCGTTCATAGAAGGAAAATGGCTGAAGCGTAGAGACTATCGTATCTCCGAGCGAGAACTGGCAGTGGCGGTGTGCCATGCCTCTATTTGACACGAATGGGGCTGTGCTCGGGCTTTCGGACGGCTGTTCATGTAATGTGTCTGGTAAAGGCTGCTCTTCTGTGAAGACAGCGGCATAACTAGTAGAACCCAAGAAGAAGTTCCTAGATGGGTCGGGTCCGCTTTGTGTTGTTCTAGTAGCAGACTCTGGAGGAGTAGGCCATGGGCCGATTCCCGCATCGTTCCTCAAAGTTGGTGGACTCAGAGTCAACGGCGTCAACCTCCCCTGACTGGATGATGGGTTTGTAGCCTGCGCATCCAACCGGCGACGACGCGGCTCTGGCTTCTTGCGAGGGGTGCCAGCAGGCTTCGTCATTGGGTTAGGATGGTAGAAGCACTGCTCTGTCATCCCACGAGCCTGGCACTTTGAGCATGTGGGCGTGGCATGGTCGCACTTGATTTTCGATATACGACATGGTTCGCACGACCTGCGCGTCACGATTAGCCGCCCGTCAGTATCTGGACTGTCGGATTCACCAACCTGGGCTTCCCATTCCTTCGTAGCATACTAGATGATTCTCCGAATAGTGTAAGATTAGTGCGAAAGGCCTGTTTCGCACCTAAACTTACGTATCTCCTACATACAGAGGCAGAATCTCGTCGGAGTAATCCTTCAATGTTCCGGCGAAACGGCCCCGCAGCATTCTAATCCCAGACAGGTCTAGATCGCAACGTTCTACTCCCCACCATCCCCTTAACCATTGGATGAGATCGCTGATAAGCAGGGGCCTACTGGTGATGTACATGATCCTTACTGGAAATAGCTAATCACACGGAATGTTCGGAGTGAAAGAAGGTTACCAGCCACACAAATTATAGAACGCTCACCTGGGCAGTCGCCAGATGCGTTCATTGAAATTCGCTCTGGAGGTGTTCGCTGACTTCTGCGTTAACAGGATGATTGAGTACAGGTCAAAATATGCCTCTGCCTGTGGTAGCCATCATGACTTGTTGGGGACGAGGTGCTCTGTAGTCTGCAAGTACAGCACTGAGATTGAGCGATGAGCGACACTGAATTACTCCTATCGGATATGTATTGCGGGTGAAGAAACGCTAACACGCAGTGCGGAGTTCCCGACGCCGATGATCTAGCGCGAAAGTCGGGCATAGACTCCCGAGAAGGTTCCGTGTCAGAAGTTGTATTTGACGTTCTGTGACAAGTCTTTTTCCGACCAAATAAACGCCATTCGCTATGTACGCTGTTCTCTGTGTTAAGTTTGAAAAGAGCGCCCCTGGCGCCAACGCTGAACAATGCTAGAGCAAACTTGCTACCAATCGACAAGCATGTACATCTTCGCATGTTTGGGTATAATGCATAGCCATAATCACTTCCACGATCTTGCCTCTCAGCTCGCTACATGTGGTTGAGAAGCGACCATCATCGCAACCATCAATGTCCCTTTCTGAGGCTCCTGAGACTACTCCTAGGCAATCTCTTGGAATCCTCTCCTTCAACTATGACCTTCGTAGTGACACGTATATTCTGCTCCTCTTCGCTCTCACCGAGATTGCTCATTGGGTACAGCTCATCCTGGCTCCCTGTTCTTACATCATCTTCCTCGCCATGAGTGCTCAGTTTGCTACCCTTTGTCACACGACTAGCGTTCCCTAAAGAACGGCCCTTGGATCCAGGGGTAGCAATGCCAAAGTGGTATCCCTCAGTGGAACTCTGCTCTTTTCTCGATATCCTTGCACGGTAGAAGCCGTACATTCCAGGCATATTGGCGGTGATGATCGCTACCGCGAATTCGATAGACGTGACGATCGTGACGGAGCCGAAGATGTACGACACATCTTTCGTGTTTGCGAGTTGCCACAGGACGATGAAGCGAAGAAGGGAGATTATGATCGTGCAGCCTCCAAGGGTAAAGACGCACATCAAACCGATTCGGCGGCGGACTGTAGTTTGTACGTTCCACAGAGGGTAGATGGGGAGGAGGTAAATTACTACGTCCATGAAGACGTTCTGCATAGTGTCAGCGGAGAGTAGTCTGACAGGTGACGAGCGACTTACAGCAACGGAGGGCAAGTAGTATGATAGACCAGAGGAAATGCACACAGCATTCGGATATAGTTCTGGGGTGAAAAAGGCTTGGATGGGGATACATTGCAGGCCGTAGAAAATCCATGTACCGCCCGTCTGCAAGCCTACCAGGATCATAGTGATTATCACCGCGATCCTGAAACCTGGTGTGACCTCGAGTGTGCGGCGATAGAAGAAGAGGAATGACATCTTGATGAAGAATTGTAGGAGAAGGTAATAGAACTCTTCTGCGAAGAGATACTGCCTTACGTGTTAATTTGAATGACCAAGCGAGCGAAAGCGCGCATTGCACGTAAGACAGCCAAAACGTACACTGGTGATTTTCTTGAGGTTTTCAGGCTTAACACGAGGATCGGTAACGTGCCTAAAAAACCAGTTGGAAAACTTCTCTCCAGAAAGTGTCAAACTTACAGCCCGCCGCCTAGAATGGTCCACATCCAAGCAATGTATTGCTGACCGATGAATAATATCTGTCTCTGGGTTAGCCACAGCGCGGCTCAGAAACAGGGTAGATTTAACACTCACAGTTCCAACCAGCATGAACCAATCGTCTGTACCAAAAGGCTTTCGTATGAAAGCTCGAGTGTAGAGTCGGATAACAGATGATATCAAACCCATTATGAAGAATGGAACTGTGGTGATCCAAACAATGGGCTGAATGTTATCGTATACCACCAAATTCACGTTGTCTCCGGCTCTTCGGACAAAATCCATAATGGGCAGTGAACAAAACGTGAAAACTCCAAAGGGTATGCACTTCTTCTCAACAAAGACCAAAAGATCGCGAGTACTTCGTCCGGCTGCAATGAGTCGAAGTGCTGCGAGTGAGCAAAGAGTAGCCCCGTACAAAACGGGGAAAGGTATGTGTCGCTATACGCGACGCAGGAACCATCTGATTTTTGCAGTATGTGCCCAATGAAACGGTGCGTGAGTCGGCATGAAGACACGCTTCCGATCCTTGTCATGAAGTCGGCCCTATGTCGTTGAAGTTCGCGACTCGTTGCTAGGACGAGTATCGGGTGGGGGTTGCCAACGATCCAAACCTGCGGTAGCGACATTCGGCCCTGATGGGGATACACTTTGGGCACGAACGTGCGGCGTGACGCAGAGTGATAAGCGGTGGCATTACCACGGTGTTCTCAAAAATATGCTATTATCTCCCTATCGCGACTTACGTTATAGGCAGTCCGCGAGCTACCCTTAGGCTTAACTGGAATGCCTTGTTGTGTCCTGATCAACTAGAAGGAGACTTACTTTACACTTGTCTCCTTATGTATATGCAAATGGTATGCGGGCAGTAGAACATGAACACTTCGGAAGTATTGTGCATTGCCCTAGTCAAAATCTGGGGGTGGACTCCGCGGAAGTCTGCATGCGGTGAGATATGCCTTCATTCAAGCTCGCGCCGCTCCGTTGCCGCTTGCCGCGCCTAGATTCCGCACGCACTCACCATGCTTCCTGCGAGACATTAGATTGTCCTGGAGACACCGTACAAGAGTGAGTCAGTAACGGCGCTTTATCGGATGTAGAACTGCAGGTTTTCCGACCGAAGTAACGCCTCACAGACAGTTCATAATTGGCGCACTGGTTAAAATGAACCTTGCCATCTCCACAGTGCAAGGCGCGCAACGTCAGGGTGTTGACATGATCAGCTGTTGAAATTCTCCGTCCTCAAGGGTCGTGGTTTTAAGCGAAATCCTTCTGTCTCTTATTCATTGCATTTTTCTGGAGCTTCTCGGCCTCAACCACGTTTTACCCCAGCAAGCAGCATGTCCGCGAAAGAGCTTCGGATCCGCCCAGCAGGTTGGGAGAGCGCTCCTGCAGAGGAGGACTTCGCTCTCTCCGATATGGACCACACCATGCCGAAGATCTATGTGCAGATAGTGGAGGTGTTCCAGCTCGCGCCACATGTTGAAAAGGCCAAGGTCGTGGATAGCATGGCCAAGGGTCTCGAATTCACATTGAGCCAGTTCCCAATTCTCGCCGGCGGCTTGAAGATGGACGCGGACAATGGACGGCTGTGGGTGACGAAGAGAAAGGACAGCGAAGTCAGTCTGTTCGTGCAGGACCTGGAGGGGAAGTTTCCCTCGTTTGAAGAGCTGGATAGGACCGATTTCCCGGCCGCGACGTTCAAGGGACACATGTTGTTGCCCAAGGCGGTGACAGAGAAACAATTGTTCTCGCCGCTTGGGGACAATCAGGAAGACGATCTCCTCATATCTACGTTTCAGATAAATTTCATCAAAGGCGGTCTCGTCCTCGGTGTTGCTATCCATCACAACTGTTCCGACGGCCCAGGATGCGACGGCTTCCTTACCACTTGGGCGCAGAACTCTGCAGCGGTGGCCAATGGAACTTCCTTCCAGGTAGTGCCTAAGGAAACTATGGACCGATCGCGTCTCAGTGCAAAGAAGCCAGATGCTGCGCGGTGGAAGGAACTTGACCATAAGTTCCCCGTTCTTAAGGATGGCGGGGGTCCGCCTCCTCCACCGCCAGCCGACTTCAAGATGCCCGAGTTGGCTATTCGAATGTGGCATTTTCCTAAGAGTAAGACGGAGGAACTCAAGTCTCGAGCCATGACAAAGACAGGAGACAGTTGGATCTCGACTTACGATGCAATCATGTCCATCCTCTGGAAGAGTATCACACGGTCCAAGCTTGAGCTTCTCCACCCTGATCTTGGCAAGGAGGTTATCCTAGTTCATGCACTCAATACACGAAAGGTGTTGGACCCGCCTCTACCGGAGACGATGATGGGCAACGCGGTCGCGCTTCCTCGCACCGAGCCGATCAAGATATCTGAACTTCTTGCTGAAGACAACCTTCCCAGCATTGCGCAAAGAGTGCGGAATTCCATCAAGACAATCACTCCGCAGTACGTGGCTGAGCTTCCCGAGTGGATCGCGGGGCTCAACGATAGGCGGTGGATCAACATCAACATGAGTTCCTTCCTGGGTATGGACCTGGCAGGTACAAGTTGGCAAGGCATGAATGTATACCAGAAACATGATTTTGGTTTCGGTGTCGCGAGAGCCATTCGCTTTCCGGATCCTCAGTTCGAAGGTTATGTTTTCGTGTACCCAAGCAGGGCCGGTGTTATGGAGAATGCTATTGACGAAGGTATCGAGGTATGCGTGTGTTTGGAAAAAGGATGCCACGATCGATTGATGAAAGATGAGGAGTTGCTGCGATATGCACAGCCTCGTGGTAACTAGGTGAGACATGGCCCGGCCTGTGCTATGTGTCATGACTATCCACAAGATTAGGGTGTGCTTCAATATTTGCACGTTGCCGCAAAAATTCATACCACATGTCTCTCATGCTTACCAATTGCTCTGTTACCCAGCATCATACCTCCATGACGTCACACAGTGCAACGTGGTAGCACCCTCGAGCGAGGATTTTCTGGGTTGAGACGCTTTTCAGCACCTTGTCGATTGTCTTGAACAGGATAGGTGAAGCAACAGCCACCTGGGAAGTGACATCGGTCGCACGCCGTGGTCGCTCGAACGGCGCGAAGTGTGCACCTTGTGCTTCACTGTGGGATTCGAGCAAGGCGCACAATTAGTCGGGAGCTTAGATTGAACGTAACGACCATAAGAATCACACTGCGCCACAGTAGGCGGTGGTACTGTTTCGTGGCCAAAACCGGCTATACGAAAATCGTGCTCCTCACAGTGCAGGGCCCTAAACTGAAGTGGGCATAGTGTCTGCTCAGGTCGATTGGAGGCAGGGACACGATGGCGCCTGCCAGGTCTACGAGCTCGCGCAAAGCAGCAAGCTTGAACGATTATCAAAGGCGTTCTTCATGCCAGCTCTTGCTTCACAGTGTTGCCATCCCTCCGTCTTTCACATAGCACAGTTCTGCCACAGACGCAAGCCAACGACGTCGAGCGACACATGACGCGCGACAGCCGCCACATGATCCAGCTTACCTTACCGTCCGCCAGTGTGCGCTGGCACTCGACAAGCCCTCTTACACAGAACGCTCACATCCCATGGATGCGCGCAACCGGGTGGAAACAACGGTATGACCTATTGCCGGAGTAAAACGATTGGGTTGAGCGCGCGCCCATATGTCACTGCCCGCAGCGTGAGCTGGCAGCTCGTCTACCGGTCAACATCGCAGAGCCGCACTAGATCGTAATTCGCAGTTGCTCAACCAGCCATCCCCTTCAGTGCGACCTTCATTCGTCCCCCCAAGGCTGCATTTGATGAGGTATGGCTTAGCGAACAAGGCGCAGGCTGTGCATTGCATAAGTCATGCCTGAGGCACATCGAGGCGGCTGGGGACGACTCCATGTGTTTCAGGACATGGCTCCCGCGACGAGCAAAAAACCGCGACGAGAACGTGCAAAATTGGATGCGACCAGCCACTTTGACGACAGAATCTTGACCTCAAACCATCGGTGATTTGCAGCGCAGCGCGAAGGCAGCGCGAATGTTGGTTGTGGTTTGGTGCGATCTAAAAGCTGTGCGGATGCATGCAGCTAAGCCAATAGCTTGCATTTGCCGGTTGTCCTTCACCGGTCCTCGCGGGGCAGCGTAAGATGGGCGGGAATGCCACCAGACTAATCGCCATCTGAACTTCTGACAATCAGCCGCTCTGAGACAGATTCTTCTTGCGCGTCCTCCTCGAGTAGTGTTGGACGTCCCCCATTCTGGTCAGACCCTCTCGCGTGTACCGTTCCCTGTTGCGCATCGCTGTTCTGCGCGGGTACGAGCCGTGTGCCTTCCCGTCTTCACCATCTCCAGTCCGTGGGTCGAGCGCTGGGTCATCATCCCACAACAGGATTCTCATAGCCGTCTGATGCGCAAGGTCTAGGAAGACCCTAACTTCTGTCTGGCCCCGGCCGCCACTTGCGCATCATGTCGACATACTCACAGCATTACCAGACCTACCAGGAACAGCCGCTTTTCATCGATCCGCATGCATTTGTCTATGGTCAATATGACAGCCGGCGGTCGAAAACACCAACCGATTCCCTGATCAACCATACTGGACTCTCGCCTGGCCCGCTTGCGACCCCACCGCCCGTGAGCCGCGGTCTGCCGCAACAACCGGAACTGCCCCAAGACCAGCCGCCCGAGTATATGCAATGGGAGATTGATAGCTCTTCGACCTCTCCCACGTCTGTAAGAACGCCAGAAGGCTCATCATTCGAGGGAGACATGATCGATTACACGCCTAATTACCACCATAACGGCAATACCATGTCATCCCACGGCTCACACCACTCCATACCCGGGGTGGATTCTGGCATGTTGTTCAGCGATCAAGGTTTGTCATCTTGACATAACTCAGCCATATCCGCTGACACCCACATAGCAGTCCAGGCGGCGTTTAACGCTACAATGGCTGAGACGCAGCGGTATCAACAACAATATACCATGCAGACCCAACAATCACACCACGTAGCACCGGCACATCCTCAAACCAACATGTACAATCAGAACTATACTACCCAGCCACCTCGCCATGACCCTTGGAACGGACAAGCACCTTCGCGGTCCTCAATGGTCCCTCGATCCGGCCATGTCGTTTTCGACCCTGCGAGCGATCCTATTAATTACTCAGACTATCTGGTGGATGTGGACTCGTGGGCAGCGCAGTATACAGACCCTTCCTCTCTGATCTCACCTAGCGAACCTACGACATCATTTCAAGGTGAACTGTACTTCGCCCAAGGCCAAAATCTTCCTCATCGCCCGTTCGACCATGTACCAAGAGCACAGCTTCCGACTCATCAGTCCATAGAGATGCAGTTCACCCGCGCATCACCACCACCCGATCAACAAAACTTTGTCAACTACAACGCATCATCTAGTCTCTTCACGGATACTTACATCACCAGCAACCAATTTCCCGCCCCACCATCGACGGCCTCATCGACGGGCTACCACCCAAGGTCTCCGTATCAGCCAGAAGTCAGCCCTTCCGCACCCAGTCCGGGGAGTTCCGATGGCGTATACTCATCTTATCAACATTCAGACTCTGAGATGATCTTCGACCAGTATCAGACACAGCAATACACTCATCTGCAACAACTGCCGCAGCTACAGCAACCACACCAACCTTCTATCAAAGTGGACTACTCCGCAGTCAGCGCTGTGCCTGAAATGAGTTTCGACGCATCTCCTGAGCCAGAGTCATCGCAGAGTGCAGCACAGAAAGCACTGGCAGCAAAATCTGGTGGCAGAGCGTTGGGCACTCATCTCGAACCGACTGTTGCCAAAGCAGCGCACGATATGCGTAAGATTGTGGCATGCTGGCATTGTGTGTTGCAGAGAGACAAGTGTGGGCCGGGCGATATCTGCGAGCGTTGCTTCAAGCGATCTCAGCGACCGAATGCTGATTGCGGCCTTGGATGTAACCGGCTGAAACTCATCGACTTGTCGCCATACTTCCTTCCTTCCCTGGTTACGCAAATGCATGAGGACGCAAACCTCACGCATTTCGTGACTCAGTACATCCAACAATGGGGAAGTGTCGAATTAACCGTCATGATGACATGCGGCCAAGACAACATGCCTCGGATGCCAGTGAAGGTGTACGAGTTCATCCCACGTGGCGACGCGTTGTTAGTGCAAATCCAGTACAAGACGGATCCTGTCACACACACGAGGGTCGCTATTCAGAAGCAAAGCCCAGCACTAGGCATGGTGCACATCAACCACAACGAAGAGAAGAAGTACGACAGGTACATCACCGAGATTGTCGACCATCACCTCGACGCCTTTGGCGAGCTTTGCTGGATGGAAGATGACAACGACTTCCAACAGAAGCTCTTCAAGCTGATGACGCGCGTGAAGCCAAAGTCGGACGATGAGGCAAAGCTACTCCGTGAAATCTTCCGTCTCATCGTGGTCACATTCATCATGTCACACACACTCACCATCGCCGAGGAAACGAAAGCCGCAACACTGTCACGCATGCACTCGTACAGCGGCCACAACTCCTACGTCGAGAACTACACATCGCCGCGCATGACCAACCGACAGCTCAAATACTTCTTCTCTCGTCTGCAACGCTCGATTCAGACTACAGTTCTGAATAAGCTTCAGCAAATCTTCAAATCCTCCAAGGGCTGCGATAAGTGGCTTGCTGCTTTTGTCGCGGTGCTAGGTATGTGCATGGCGCTTGAAGACCAGCAGAAGACCATTCACCTAGTCATGTCTACCAAGGCCACTACAGAGCGCTTAGACCTGAGAGACGCGCAGAGCCAGGCGGATATCGCGTGTCGTGAGATTGATCAGCGGATGCACTTCGTGCAGCAGATTTTCCGATGGAAGTACAACCGCAAGCATAACCCCATGCGCGACGCAGATCACGACTGGGAAAAGGAGGTGGGCTTCGGAGATGCGAGCAGTGTCAACTTCGTGAGACAAGTTGCGCAGTTGGTCAAGGAGAACAGTAAGTCGATACTATGGTATTACTTGGATGTTGCGAGAGAGGTCTTGCTAATGACAATCCAGTCGATTTCCTGCAACAACGGCAGCAGGTCAGCATCTCGGCCGATAATCAGACAAAATATACGTCACGTCTTGTGGGACAGTTCTTGCTTTCCTTCTGGCTTCCTAGCGTGTAGAGCGCTTTGGCTGATCAAAGCTTGAAACACCATCACAAGTCCGCCACCGAGCAACGCCTTCGTCTGCAGCATTCGCACGAACGTGTCGCTCCGACGCTCTATTCACGACATAATGTATAACGATCGTTTCCCTCATTCTCTATTGCAGCGTTAGCCTTTGCATTTAGGCCACGCTGACCATCTATTTCACGCAACAAAAAATACGTTGAAGGATCAGTTGTTCAGTAACAATCTTGATCTACGACTTCATGATCTTCATTCACATTCTTGGCTTTGCGAAACATTAGCCATTTATTCTTATACCCTTTGATTTCGTCACGGATCGTCTTATTCCATTCTTGTTTGGAGATGCAATCGCTTCATCCCTCTAAAGTAGAACGATGCGTTATTTAGTCTAATGGGATTCCTCGCCTGCATTGATCTTGTTGACGATTAGCGTGCATGGTATGAGGGGCTTGGATGTGACTATCTTCGTAAGCACCACATGGCAAGGCGAGGCAGAGTCTAGAGGGAACACCCTCGTTGAGCATACCCCATTCCGTGATCACGGACAAGGTCAACCCATATATCCCCGTGCCGACTCCCGACCGGGTGAAAGTCAATTAAAGTTTGCGCATCATCCGCAGCTGATTTCCCTACTAAGCAGCTTGGTACTTTGGACGACGACCCGCGACGGATGTGGCGCAAATGCGATCGCCGATTAAGTTTTACCCACGTTTCTAGGCCTACACTAAGATAACGCATTCTGGTACTTGTGTGTAGTCACGAGCTCAAAAGCTTTTAGTCCAGCAAGCCTCAACTCCCGCGTTTGGGACTAATGATAAAGTTTCCTGTGTACCGAGGGCCTGGAATGTGGGTACAGAGAGTGTGGCGGACTATCGGATTTTGTTCAATGCAGGGCAATAAGTCCAAACTAGGGCTGCCAGAGTGAGGAGGTATTCGGACCGAAGCGTGAACTTGACTATGATATGGTGTGTAAAAGAGGGGTGTTGAGTGGGTGAACACGACAGTTCGGAAGGTCGATATGAGTATCAAGAAGTAAAGAAGATCATTTGGATGTAAAT